AGACAGAGTTTCGCTCTTGTTACCCAGGCTGGAGTGCAATGGCGCCATCTCGGCTCACCGCAACCTCCGCCTCCTGGGTTCAGGCAATTCTCCTGCCTCAGCCTCCCAAGTAGCTGGGATTACAGGCGTGCGCTACCATGCCCAGCTAATTTTTTGCATTTTTAATAGAGACTGGATATACAATCTGCTTTAAACTGATATTTCGGAATGACGTAGAGCAGGTGCTAAATTGTAGAACACTAAATATGTGTTAGATAGATGGACAGATAAATGAAGACATTCAATTGACCCTGCAGACATACTGAAAATTTTCCCTAATTATCGGCTCTGCCACCTTCTCATGAAGAGGTTTCCTGTATTTGCATATTCTTATCTCTGATTCTCTAGTTCGCTCTACTAGCTATTTATTGCACCAGAGCAAATATTATTTTCTTAACTGCTGTAGTTTCATCCCAGGCCTTTGCTCCTTATTGGTGCAACTTTTGTAGGTATTATTCTTCAATAAAACTGCCTTGTAGAAGTTGCAGTGAGCAGAGATCATGCCACTGCATTCCAGTCTGGCTGGCAGAGCGAGACTCCATCTCAAAAAAAACAAAAACAACAACCAACCAACCAAACGAACAAAATATGCCTTGGTCATGCTTGAGCCTTGTTTTCTTATAAACATTTTATTGATCTTATCACTGTCTTTCCAAGCTAACCATTTATACAATCTTCTAGGATTTTGATTGAGATCACTTTTTTAAACTGTGTATCGTTTTATTTTTAAGTAGTCATCTAATTTCTAAATTCAGTATTTTCATCTATTTATTTGTCTCATTAGTTTAATTGCTTTACGGAAGTTACCATTTTTGTTTAGGTATTCCTGAATATATTTATTTATTTTCATATATATTATACATTTAACTAAAATAGGTTTCATTAATATATATATATATGTATGCATATATATTAAGGTATAAAAAAGCACTTTTATATAGCATTTGTATTTCTGTTGTTAAATGTATGAATTTAATATGTTTCAATAACCATATGCATATTTCATTTGATTTTCCAGTAAAAATACTATCGACTTTAGATAAAATTATTTATTCTTTTCCAATATTTATCTGTGTACTTGTCTATAAGTCATTATAAATGCATGGCATTGCCTTATTTCATTGTCTAGGTAGTTTAGTACAGTGCTGAAAAAAAGTGACAGAAAAACTTTTTTTATTATTTCAGAGGAAAAGTTTTAACACATCATAATTAAATATAATTACTATCAAGGCTTAAAAGCATTTATCATCAGATTCAGAAAGTTTCCTTTTATTCGTGATTTTTAAAAAGTTTTTGTTGCAAATGGAAGTTGATTTATAGATGTACTTTATAGGTCTAATATATTTTTTATTTTTCTTCTTTATATAAAAATTAAAATATATTTTCCATGGAAATAAAATTTTAAAACCATTTCATGATGATACAGACATGGCCTGTATAAACAGTGGTTCTTGTGTATAATAGTAGCCATAATATTTTAGAACACAACAGCAATTCATAATGATGATTGTGTTGTTTCTGGGAAATGGGATGACTGGGGATGGGAGCCACATTTCTCATAAACCTCTTCGGAGTGATTCTGAGAGGAAACAATAATCAGGACATGAACAGAAGTAATTACATAAGCCTAGAAAGCTTCCAGTACTTGAAAAGAGCATTGTAGTGATATTGATTATGACCCAAACTTAATACAGTTCTGATATTATAAATATTGAAATAATTAAATAAGTTCTTATAAAAAGTATGTAGGAATTAAACATTCGTTGGCTAAACCATCGAGTGTTGGTTAACCTATATTTAAGTAGGAAAGGGGCACTATGAGACAATTGATCATTTCCATTGGAAGGAACTTCCATGGTTTCATAGTAGTGTTTTCAATTTTGTGTGGACGATACAACCACAGGTGGATGTGCAAATTGATTCACTTACAAATAAGAAGTCTTTATAGAATTTGTTAAATATTTTTATATATCTGTCTGATTTTACATTTAATTATGATGATGATGGCTTCATGTTACCTGACTATTTCTTAAGGATTTCTGGAGAATATAAGTTACTGATTAGGAAAAAATACAGGCTTACTTCTCTCTTTAAAAAAGATAGAAACTAGCCAAGAGGACTTAAAATTGCTTAAACTGTATTTTATAAATCATGATGTTAATAATATCTGAAACAGGAAAAAGAAAGTAGGGAAAACACTAAATATATTAAAATAAAGATAATTAGGGTCCTGTAAAAGTTAAACATGGCTAAGATTCATCTAAATTTGACAGCCAATATTTCAAGGCATGAGTAAGAATTAAGGAAAAACTACAATCACTGAATATTTGAAAATACTGCCGGGTAGTTTTGCCACCTTAGATACATATATATATACATATATATCCATATGTGTATACCTGTAGATCCATACATATATGCCTATATATACATATAAACATTTTCTCACACACTAATATAAGGAGTGAATCACTTAATAGCCATTGACAGTCCTTACAGAAGAGTAAACATTTCTAAAGCATTGTTGAACTACACCAATTCTATAGCCTGGTACTTTGTGAGATGAAAGATATAATTTGCTTCACTGTAGTAACCATGTTACTACCTACATACACAATGTGTTGCATACCTTAAAAATATACAGTAAAACTTATTTTAATAGAAAAGTGTGCTAACTAAACAGGACTAGAGAAAAAAATCATACTGTATGACATATTTCTATTATCAAAGTGTAAGGTCATCTGTGAGTCATTGCATTTTCTGGATTTCTTGGTTCTCATTTGTATAGTACTAGCTTAGGGGCTCTAAAGACTTATATTACTAAAATTTATTTTAGCCAACTCTAAAAATGCTACGATTTTCATTATGGTGTCTGAAGCCAAAGATAGAAAATATAGTTCTAGAAACCAGGGATAGGAAGCCCTTATGGAAAGAAATGATAGAGAATTATAATGAGTAAATGTGGGATAAGTAAGTGGATCAGTGCATAGAAGGGTAGTTAAAAGAACAAATCTTGCCCAACATAGATCAGTGAAAGTGTTGGTCCCTATGAACAATTTTGTTGAAATAACTTTTCAAAATTACTCAATACATTTACTTTAAAACATCTGAAACTGGCCAGGCATGTTGGTTCATGCCTGCAATCACAGAGCTTTGGGACGCTGAGGGGGGCAGATAGCCTGAGGTCAGGAGTTCCAGACCAGTCTGGCCAACGTGATGAAACCCCGTCTGTAATAAAAAAAATACAAAAAAAAATTAGCCTGGTATGGTGGCATGTGCCTGTAATCCCAGCTACTCTGGAGGCTGAGGTGGGGTAGTTGCTTGAACCGGGAGGTGAAGGTTGCAGCGAGCTGAGATGGCATCACCGCACTCCAGTCTGGGCAACAGAGCTAGACTCCATCTAAAAAAAAAAAATCTGAAACTAGTAAGTGTCTTACATGTTGAGTAGTTGAAGGAATTAAGTAAGTTTTGTAAAAAGGAGGCAAATAATTTTCTTCTCATCCATTTTATTGTTCTTGATTTTGAATCAGATAAAAGTATTACTCACTAAAATATGAATAAAAAGAAATTCTACTTCAATAAAATATGCTGTATGATATTAAAACAAATGTTTAATTTAAAACATTATAAAAACATTAAAACATTATAAAACATTATCAAAACATTATAAAAACGCTAAGACAAAACAGCAAAGAATACAAACTATTGAGGCCCACATTAAGAGTTTCATGTTAGTGAAGTATAGAATGGATCCCTATTACTGTGTATCAGTTTAAAAATTGAGCTGTTATGGGAAAATTAATGATGCTAGTTGTAAAAAAACCACAGAAGCTATTTAATTCTGTGTCATTCGTGTTGCCATTCTTGTTGACACAGTACATAGTGTTTCAACAAATACATATTTCCAAGACCCATAACATTCCATTTCATGTTTACAAAAGATACTTTGAAAGCTCAGTTCTTTTAAATAAATATTTTAAAAATCTGAGCACTAATTTTAAATGTGTAAATAAATATTCCATGATTTTATTTCTTGTGACTGAATTTTAAAGAGAATGCTTATGCTATCCAGATCTGCAAGATTTTACTTTGCTTTGTTTTCTCCCATCAAGCTTTATTAAATATAATTGGCAAAAAAAAATTGTATGTATTTAGGATACAAAACATGATGTGGGGTTTTTTTGGCCAGTTAAACTTTTTAAAAAAATTAATTCATTATACTTTAAGTTCTGGGGTACATGTGCAGAACGTGCAGGTTTGTTACATATGTACACATGTGCCATGGTGATTTGCTGCATTCATCACCCCATCATCTACATTAGGTATTTCTCCTAATGCTATCATTCCCCAATCCCCCCACCCCCTGCTACCACTCCCCTATCCCTCCATACTCAACAGTCCCCAGTGTGAGAGCACATGGACTCAGGGAGGGGAACATTACTTTGCTTTTTAAAAAATTTATCAAAGCAAGTGGCTATATTATAGAAGAGAATTAAAGAAGCTATATAATTATGCCTTATCCTCAACTGGATAGTCTTTGAAGCTCATTGCAATAATCTGAAAATGTTTATCAACCTTCTCCAATTTGTTTAAGGTACAGGCTACACTATATATTTTGGTGAAAATAATTTCCAAGTTTCTTTTAATTCCTCCACTAATAATACACCTTGGAAAATTTATGAATTTATAAATTACACATTACAATGAATTAATAGCTACATTTATTATGCCAACAACCTACATGTTAATAATTCCATATTGCATATGGAAATTAGGAATATTTCTATTAAAAGTTACATTCTTTAGCCTGTAAAAAAGTATTACTTTTACAATGAAAAACAGGTAAATTGAGCTTTCGTTTTATAACATTGTGTTACGTAGTGAAGGAAGACTGCTTCCCAGAACTGAATTATTCCTGAATAAGACCACAGTCTTAATTTCCTGTATTATGTTCTTTTTAGGTACATTAGTCATCCAAGTGACAGCAAGTGATGCTGATGATCCTTCAAGTGGTAATAATGCTCGCCTCCTCTACAGCTTACTACAAGGCCAGCCATATTTTTCTGTTGAACCAACAACAGGTATTTGTGAAGGAAACAAGCAAATTTAACATGGTTCTAAAGAAGGCAATTGTCTGCAAAATTACCTGCTTAGAAACATGTTTACAATAGACCTGATATGTCAATAGGTAAAATGATTACAATTCCTAAGCATTTAATTACTTTTAGTCTTTTTAGCTGATTTTTCTGAGGTTAGGAGATTGGATTTTCCATGTCCGTACCACAAATTACTTGCGTAAGAGGTATAAATCATATGTAAGCACTCTTTTAAATGAATTAGAAAAAGAGACAAGCAACCCAATTTAAAAATATAGGAAAAAGGCATTTACAAGCAACTGACAAAGAACAATATACAAAAAGCTAGTAAGCATATTAAAGAAGCTCAACCTCATTAGTCATCAGGGAATGCATATTAAAAACACAATGAGATACAGCTGCATACCCCTACAGAAAAACTGAGATTAACTCTGAGTATAAGACTAAGTGTGGGGCCGGGCGAGGTGGCTCACGCCTGTAATCCCAGCACTTTCGGAGGCCGAGGCGGGTGGATCACGAGGTCAAGAGATCGAGATCATCCTGGTCAACATGGTGAAACCCCGTCTCTACTAAAAAATACAAAAACATAGCTGGGCATGGTGGCGCGTGTCTGTAATCCCAGCTACTCGGTAGGCTGAGGCAGGAGAATTGCCTGAACCCAGGCGGAGGTTGTGGTGAACCGAGATGGCGCCATTGCACTCCAGCCTGGGTAACAAGAGTAAAACTCCGTCTCAAAAAAAAAAAAAAAAAAAGACCAAGTGTGCAAATTGATATGAAACATTCACCTAAAAATAATTCTGTATTTTACATCTTTCTGATTTACATGAATAAAATATTTAATTCTTTTTTTAATGTTGCTTTACAAATTTGTATTAATCAATTGAATATAAAATAAACAGAAAACAATTTTTTTCTTTTATTTTAAACAATTGTATGACCCTAATTTATTAAACAAGTATTAATTGTTGTGTTTAAAACAAAATTATGCCCATGTAATTTTTTTTCCTTTAGGAGCTTACAGTCCATAGCCTCTGCTGATAAAAAGAAAAAAGCATATAACTAATGACCCACTAATGTGATAAGTACCAAAGAACTAAAATTCTATGGTTTTTAATACAAGAAAAATATTATTTCCAGGTTACATTAAAACCTTTAAAGAACTAAAGTATTGTGTTGGATCTTTAAACATTTCTTATTCATTCATTCATTCATTCATTCATTCAGCAATTACTGAATGTCCCAGCCTTTTTTAATTAAGGTTTTTTGAGAGAATCAGGTTCCAAAAAATATTATTTGAGTGACTATGTTCTTCATTATTTCAAGAATGGCATATAGCCTTTATTCTTGCAGATGCGCAATGGATGCCTCAAAACATTACACTCTAATTCCCTCATACATTCTGGTCTAGAAAAGCTGCATATGCACCAAGTGTTATACAACTTACTAGATTTATAAAGGTACAATGCTGCAAAATTTAACACAATACGTAATAGTAACAAAAACAAAACAGAATTATGGACTCTTCTTCTTTGAAACTTACAGATATTAAACATGAATGGTAATAAACACATACATTCCACTGTGGGGAATTATGAAGTAAAACCAAAAAGCTTCAGTAGGAGAAAAAAAGTGAGGCTGACTTTGTACTGTGTGTTCAAGGCAAAGTACCCTGAAACCAGAATGATTAGCTGAGCCTATAGACAAGGAGGAGAGAGTGAAAGATAATTCCAGGGCATGGGAAGAATAAGGGAAATTCCTGGGGTGGGGAAAGAGTTGATTACACTAACTAGACTCCACTGTTGAGAAAAACAGAAGAAAGAAGAAAGGGAGGTGTATAGAGTGTAAACACATTCTGAGTCATACCAGACCTTTCTGACCATGCTTTCTTTCCACCCCTAGCCCTTACCCTGCACACTGATTTTTTTAAAAATATACTGAGTAGGTTGGCTAAAACTGTGACTTGCATAGCTGGAGAAGAGTTGGTATGGACATGCATGGATCAAATCTCTGAAGGAATAAATTTTGAAGTGCAAAAGATCCAGAAATACCTATTCTTTACATAGTCTAAAGGCTGAGAGGAAAAGATGAAAGTGAAGCAGGTGCAGTAAATGGGGAAGAAAGACTCCTATTTACCGCTCCCTTGAGTCACATATAGGGAGACGCTAGCCGCACTTGTGCAACATACTCAATGATTTCCATTGGGATTCAAATAATTGATTGAATTTGTGAAACACTTTAGTTCACAACTAAAATCCCCTCATGTTGTGATCTGATTTATCTTTTAAAAAAATACATGCAACAATTTCTTTAAAAATTATATTATATTAAATTTAATCCAATATATAAAAAATACTACCATTGCAACAAATGGTCAATACAAAACTATGGAGATACTTCACATTTTTTGTTCTCAGTCTTGAAATCAGGTGTGCATTTCATACTCATAGCATATGGCTATTTTTTTCACAAGTTCATTGTATTTTTTATTTACTTTTATTTTGGGCTCAGGGAGTCCACATGCAAGTCTGTTGCATGGGTATATAGTGTGATGCTGAGGTTTGGGGTACTAATGATCGTGTCTAGTTTTTCAACTATCTCCCCCCACGTCCCCTCTGTAGTAGTCCTGAGTATCTACTGTTTCCATCTTTATGTCCATGAAATCATATTTTTAACGAATATTTTGTCCTTGATATATTTGGTTATTGGCAATTATCTATTTTTTGTGTGTGTTCCCTAAATCTTTAGAAATGTTAAGCCCTCTCCTATAAACCTGTCTTAAGATTGTCTTAGGTTCTTTTCAGTGATCGTTAATTATTTTATTCCAAATAATTTTATAGAAGTTAAGCATTTATTGGAATATTTATCATTAATCATCTTGAGTTTGAATATATTATATTTTTATATGTTTTTTTAATATATATAACTGTGGGTTGACAACCAGGTCTTCTTCAGATCTCATAATTCTAAGTAGACTTTAAAGGAATAAGGACACGATATTTATTTCACAAATTTGGTATTGTAATTTACACATTTATCAAAAATACACTAACTTCAGAGTTTCAGGGAGAAAGCTAATTGTGGCAAGTTGATATTATGTTAGAGAAGATAGCAGAAAATAAGTTAAAGTAAAAACAAGACATTCTTCTTTTCTACCTGTGGATTACCTTAACATGTATTTTATTAAGGCCTACCAGTGTTCTTACTATTGTGATGGTCACTGTAGACTCTAGGCAGTATTAATGTTTAATTTATTATTATTATTTTTCTCCAGGGCAGTCTCTGGCACATTTTAGTGCTTCAACATACAGCAAAATAATGTATAGTGCAATGGTTACGAGATTAACTAGAAAGTTGTCATGATTAATGATGAAATAATTGGAATTTTATTACATTTTTAAAGGAGTCATAAGAATATCGTCTAAAATGGATAGAGAACTGCAAGACGAGTATTGGGTAATCATTCAAGCGAAGGATATGATTGGTCAGCCAGGAGCATTGTCTGGCACAACGAGTGTATTGATTAAACTTTCAGATGTTAATGACAATAAGCCTATATTTAAAGAAAGTAAGTAAAAAACATTCTAAATCTTCATTACAATATAAATTTGAGTGTGTTACATATAAGTGGATGTTAGAGTTTACATTCTAAAAGACTAGAATTGTGTAAACTAAATTTGTCGATTGTTCCAGTATGATTATTTTAATTCATGCTAAAAAGTAAAATACAAATGAAATAACAATGTGTTAGTTTTCCATTGCTGCTGTAATAAATTGCTACAAACTTCAGGACTTAAAACAAATACATTATGGGGTCTCATTGGGTTATGATCAAAGGATTCAGGGAGGTGTTTCTTGCTGTATCCTCTAGGGGAGCATTCATCTCCTAGTTTATTTAAGGGAATTCAGTTTATGTGTTTGTATAATTGAGGTCTCTGTTTTCTTGATGACTGTAAGCTGGGAAACATCCTTAACTGCTAAAGGTCTCTTTATGGTTCTTTTTTTGTGTGTTACTTTGTTTTTATTTATGGTTCTTGATTTAGCCCACACAGCCCAGAAGCAGCTAGAAGTGCCACATACTTTGCAGACTGACAACTCTCTAACCCACACATTTGCCTCTTCCACTTTTCAGCACTCAAGTAATTAGACTGAACCCAGTTGGATAAGCAGAAAAATGTTCCCATGTCAAGGTCAGCTAACTAGCAACCTGAATTCTATCTGTGACCTTAATTCCCTTTTGCCACTTTAGGTAATGTATTTATGGGTTCAGCAGAATTTGGAACAGATATCTTTGTGGGGTACTTCTGCAAACTGTAGGTAATCATTTAAAACGACTATTTGCATTTATTTTTACTTTTGAGGCAGAATAGGCCACACCTGCTCTAAAAATTTAAGTAATTACTACAAGCTAAATATAAGCACATGGTATGCTTCATAAAAAATTTCTTATGGAATTATTGGAGGAATTTCTTTCCTAGGAAATTTATTTTTCAGGGTATTCTGTTTTAGCTACAGAAATACATTTATAAGCACTTCCAAAAAGCATGAGTAATTATCATGCTAGGAAGAAAATTTAATTAGCATGGAACACAGAAAAAAAACAATAAAAATTTATACTATAGCATGATTTCTTAGTTATTGACTGTTTATAGACAGAAACAAAACTATCTTTTGATTACTTTTTTCCTCATCCTTTTCTGTACATTGCCCCATCCCTCAAAGTCAGGTAAAATCATGTCATTTTTAATGGCCCAAGTGAAGTGTTACTTTCACTGACTACCTTCTGGTAGATGAGTCCATGAATAAGCACAGGAAGTTGGCATCCTACAGATTTGCTTTAAAAACCCTGATTTTACCATTCATTGGATTTACAGACCTGATAATATCTGTTAATGTGTGTGTGTGTGTACACAAATGCTCACACCTAAATAATACAGACGCTACTCAGTTTAGCCAACATACGCAAGGTTATCAGATCTTTTGATTTTTCCATAAATATTACAAATCTCATTTTTTAAATTTCTGCTCTATCTAACAATTTTAATTTTTGCCGTATTAAAAATTTATCACTGTTATACGGATTGAGAAAACAGTTCCTCTGTGGATGGACTGTAGGCAAAGGGGCCAGAGTTTGCACTTTCATTTCTGTTCATGTAGTATAATATATGATGGATAGGACTGTGTCCACAACATTAATATGGCCTCTAAAGGCAAGGGGAGAACGTCAAATTAAATATGAAATACCCAGTACTTTATAAAATAATTGGCATCCAATATCTGAGAAATAGCGACTGGATTTGTTAAAAAATTGTGGTCCCAATTTTATGCAGATGATGATGAAAGACAAGTAGAAGTGTCTGGAAGGCAGGAAGATTCCCAAAGAAACTTGTTGCAATAAAATGTCCTGAAGCTTCTACTACGTTTCTCAGTTTCCCTCTGATTTTTCAAGACATTAATATTAAAATATTTTGAATAAATTAGAAAATTTTAAATATGTTTAAAAATTATCTTTGTTAACTGACTCTGCATATGAGATGACGATATTGCTATTAATACTTTAATTCAACTGCGAGTGGGGGTGGATCTGATGCTGGTCTCCTTACCCTTGTACACCCGGTTTTCCCTTGTGGGAATCCCATTACCCTCCTCTGAATTTGAATACTCAGTACCTGTGCCCTCTGTTATGGGCAACACTCCCTACTCTCCCCAATTAAAGGCATCGCTCAAACATCCCTCTCCCTTGTGTTAACAGCGCCCTCTGCTGGTTCATACTTATCAGCATCCAAACATGTTTATTATTGTTTTTTCTCATTTCCTAAACAAAACAATACAAAAACACTTTCTTGACTTCACTTCCATACTCAGCTAAAGATGCTTTGTATTTTTCCTTTCCCTTTAGAGAAAATTTCTTAAAAACGTTATTAAAATTTACTGTTTTTAATTAATGACCTCAAAAGTCTCAAAACTTTCTCCATATGAGTTGCATCCACATTACTTGACCAAACTAACCTGATCATTTCTATCAATAACCTAAATGGAAGTAAATGCAATGTCAGTTCTCAGTTCGATGACACTTGATTTCTTGGAAGACTCTGATGTAATCGATCAACCTCTCCTTGAAAACCTTAATATTCCATTCTCATTAGCCTTTTCTTCTCTTACTAGTTCCTGTCCTTTCAGTCCTTGCCTTTCCTTCTTCTTCTCTATATACTTTATACTTTGGAATATTTGTGAGCCAAGGCTTTGATGCTGTCTTTCGTCCCTTCTGTAGTCATTCCTTTATGATCTTATCCAGACACATGGTTTTACACACCACCTCTGTGCTGACAATCTCTTAATATAAATCTCCAGACTGAACTTCTCCAGCGAGCTTCACAAGAGTACATCTGTCTACTCAGCATCTCCACGTTTGAAATCTAACAAACATTTAACTGAGCTCCTGATTTCAGCTGCCCCCTCCTCTGAACTCCCTCTTCCCACAGATTTTCCAGCCTCAGGTACTCACACATCCAGGTTTCATATTGTTCAAGCCAAAACCTTGCTTATTGGATTTAAACAGCACTGTTGTGAAGAACCAATGATCCCATTCAGATTATGGTGGCCATACCCAGTTCACCTATAATTTTCACCCAGCCTGAATTGATAACCTCTACAATCCTGATAGTTCCCGACTTTCAATATTCTGTGAGTAAATACAATACACAACACACACACACACACACACACACACACACACACACTCCTTCCTTGCTTAAAGGTTTGAAGCTACTTCTACTTTTCTTTTTCTAAGAGTAAAAATTTAATTCCCTGCAGATGTTGTTGCCTCAGCCCTGGAAAATACCCAAGTTATGAACACTTCTCACCAAATCCATCCCTACCACCTTGGCTCGCCCCACCATCTTATTTTATCTCTATTAGTGCAATAGGCTCTCATCTAGAGTCTGCTTACGCCATTGTTCTCCTTTAGTTTATTTTCAACACAGCCTTGTAATCTTGTTAAAATGCAAGTTTGATCATACTACTCAGAGAAGTCGGTCCTTAGGTTTATCGGTCCTTAGGTTTATCGGTCCTCACCGGAAGGGTCTTAAAGGTCTGAGTATTCTGCCATGGTCCAGCCCTGTCCCATTACCTCTTGAAACAGTGTTTCTATCTGCCCCTTTGCTTACTAAGAAGCCAACACCAGGCATGTAGCCTCCCCTGTGTTCCCAGAACGTTCCAGACCCGCTAGCTTTTCCTCTTCTTGAAATGATATTTCTCCAGATATTCATTTCCTTATTTCAATTATTATCCAAAAGTCACATCTACAGTGAATATTTGACACCTTATCATAAATTTTAAATTATTCCACCAGAATACTACTTTCATATACATCAGTGTCAGTGTCTTATTTATCGTGTATTTTATCATCAAAAATATGGGCTGATGGTAGCAGCTTGTATATGTATTATCGCCTGTTGTAAGCCCATCCTCTAGAACAGGGTCTTATAAAAATGGTGTTCAAAAAATAATTTTCGAAAGAATGGAAAATTGTATAGACAAAATATTGACTGAGGAAAATATTTCCATTCCTTTTCATTTTGAAGGATAGTAGTTTAATATAAATTCAATAACATTTAAGTATAAACCATCCACTCTCACATTCATGGCAACGTCATTGTTTTCTCCAGATTAATGACTCAGTGATTTTTAATTTTTGCAATAACATAAACAATTCTTTTAATTTTTCTACAATGTAAAAAACACTACTAATAGTCAAGCTTCTACTTCTGCTTTAAAAAAGTAGTAAAATATTAGCATTGAAAAAGTAACAGTTATTTCACTTAAAATTAAAGTCTCAACTGCAATCTGTGAAGTGACTGCCTCCTCTATGCGTCTAAAGGAACCAAGAATCCCTTTAAAGAAGAATTGTATTATATGTGCCTCTTTTTTAGAATTTTAAGAAGTTTCATTCTTTAAAATATTGCATGCTTGCTGATGCCATTTGACATAAATAATGTCACATATTCATGTGGATGAAAATGCAATTGTAAATAATCATTTAAAAATAGTATAGTTCTAATCAGTTGTATGCAAGTTAGTCCTGAAAAATAAAGGAAAATGCCCAGTAATTTGTAGTTAGATTGATACATTTTAAATACAGCTGCTATTATTTTCTCATGACCAAATCAGTTAGGTCACCTTTGACTACAAAATGTTTTTTCTACTACATTCATTTACCAGCTCGTTTCAATCTATCTTTCTTTGCATTTCCTCTAATGCTAATATAATGCAGCCTCAGACCCTCAAAATCAGACTATTGCTCTTGGAATGAAACTATTTGCATTCAGACTCTCCTACTTTTATTCCACATGTATATTTATCAGTGACTTCAGGTATCAGGGATGTTAAAAAAAAAGTGCAAATTCTTTCTGTCAAGTTTAAATTATGATGGTTGAAGGTTACAACAAAAAATAAAACATGAATATTGAGGAGAAATGCATGTAAATGGAAATAACATTGGTGACAGGCTCTCCTAAGATATATTTGAGAGATGATGATAGATGATCAAATAGGATATTAGAAAATATTTATATTTCAAAAAATAGGAGATATTATATATGGGAGCAGAGAGAGAGAGAGGAAGGAAGGAACAAAGGAAGGAAGGAAGGAAGGAAGGAAGGGAGGAAGGAAGGAAGGAAGGAAGGAAGGAAAGAAGGAAGGAAAAAAAGAAAGATTAAGAACAAGTAACTGGAAAAGGTAGGTATGGGATTCCTTACAGGTCATAAATAAAGAATGCTGTAATTGAAAGTTTCCTATGCTAAATATTTATCCAAGATATTTTAAATTTTGTTTTTAAAGGTTTATACCGCCTGAGTGTCTCTGAATCTGCAGCTACTGGGACTTCCATAGGAACAATCATGGCATATGATAATGACATAGGAGAGAATGCAGAAATGGAGTACAGCATTGAAGAGGATGATTCACAGACATTTGACATCATTACTAATAATGAAACTCAAGAAGGAATAGTTATATTAAAAAAGGTAGACATGTTAAGATTATTTGTCTTGCAAAATAGTGTAAAATTAAAACAAGTCATATTTTGTGTAGCTGGTTAGTTTTATCTCATTAAATAATTGAAACAAGATCCTGTAATTTATGTTTTTTGGAGGAAAGGACTTGAGAGATGAGGTAGTTATTACAGGGCTTCTAGAATTACATGAAGGACATTTTTAATTCAAATAAAGGAAAACTCTTTGGAAAATATCTTAAATACTTGGAAATTCATTCTCAGTTTCATTAGATGTTTATGCCCTCAAAAGTATAATTGTATTCCTAAATTAAAATAAGTGACAGTATACATACAGATATGTTATGTCTAATTAACAATTATATCAGAGAGATCCATGCATATAAAAAATAAAACCTAACTGAAAGTCCCCTGACACTGAATTTAACAGCTAAAATCTTTCTTTTTTCTATTATACTTGAAGTTCTGGGGTACATGTGCAGAACGTACAGGTTTGTTACATAGTTAAACACATGCCATGGTGGCTTGCTGCATCCATCATCCTGTCATCTACATTAGGTATTTCTTCTAATGCTATTCCTCCCCTAGCCCCCAACTCCCCATCAGGCCCTGGTGTGTGATGTTCCCCTCCAAGTGTCCATGTGTTCTCATTGTCCAACTCCCACTTATGAGTGAGAAGATGGGGTCTTTCCTTTCCTGTTCTTGTATTTAGTTTGTTGAAAATGACAGTTTCCAGCTTCATCCATGTCCCAGCAAAGGACATTAACTCATCCTTTTTTATGGCTGCATAGTATTCCATGGTGTAGATGTACCACATTTTCTTTATCCACTATATTATTGATGGGCATTTGGGTTGGTTCCAAGTCTTTGCTACTGTAAACAGTGCCACAATAAACATACATGTGCAGGTGTCTTTATAATAGAATGATTTATAATCCTTTGGGTATATATCTAGCAATGGGATTGTTGGATCAAATGGTATTTCTAGTTCTAGATTCCTGGGACTCACCACACTGTCTTCCACAATGGTTGAACTAATTTACACTCCCACCAACAGTGTAAAAGTGTTCCTATTTCTCCACATCCTCTCCAGTATGTGTTGTCTACAGAATTTTTAATGATCACCATTCTAGCTGGCATGCGATGGTATCTCATTATGGTTTTGATTTTCATTTCTCTAATGAGCAGTGATGATGAGCTTCTTTTCATGTTTGTTGAATGAATAAATGTCTCCTTTTTAGAAGTGTCTGTTCATATCCTTTGCCCACTTTTTGATGGGGTTGTTTGCTTATTTCTTGTAAATTTGTTTAAGTTCTTTGTAGATTCCGGATATTAGCCCTTCCTTTTTTCTAAGTAATACCTTGGGTTACTAAAGCCATTTCTTCTGTGTACACTGTATTTCTTCGCAGAAAGTGGATTTTGAGCACCAGAACCACTATGGTATTAGAGCAAAAGTTAAAAACCATCATGTTGATGAGCAGCTCATGGAATACCACACTGAAGCTTCCACCACTTTTATTAGGATCCAGGTGGAAGATGTTGATGAGCCTCCCCTTTTCCACCTTCCGTATTACATATTTGAAGTTCTTGAAGAAAACCCACATGGATTATTTGTAGGCATGGTGTCTGCCACAGACCCAGACAATAGGAAATCTCCTATCAGGTATGTCTGTAAGGTCACTTTTGCATTAACAAATAAGTAAACATTAACTAGATTAAAAATAAAATTGAATGTAAATTTAAACAAGGTTATATCTGTATCTATATTTCTGTACACTATAATTAATTTGTAACCATTTAAAATTAAAATAGGGAACGTCAATTTTGGTTAAGATGCAGTAAAATTGGTGATTTCAAACATGTGCAAGACAGAGGCAATTACTAATTAAAATTCAGTGCCATGTATTGCACTGAAAGGAGGAAAGGAGGAAAGAGGAAAAAAAAAGTGTTTTTTAAATCCCCAATTAGAGCTGAAACACAGCTGATCAAAATGTGGCTTATTTAAATACTATTTTCTCGAAATGATATTCAAAAATTGAGAAAGCTTTTATAGTCATCCTTCACAACCTTTCTGCCACCAGGAACCAGTTCGGTGGAAGACAATTTTTTCCACGGTTGATGGGGTGAAGGGGAATGGTTTAAGAATGAAACGGTTCTGCCTCAGATCATCTGGCATTGGATTCCCATAAGGAGCTCTCAACCTAGATTTCTCACATCTGCAGTTCACAACAGGATTCGCGCTCCTATGAGAATCCAATGCTGCCATGGATCTGAGAGGAGGTGGAGCTTAGACAGTAAAGCTGGTTGGCCTGTCCTCATCTCAGGCTTTGCCGTCAGGTTGCCAACAAGCCATGGATAGGTAGCAGTTCATGGCTTGGGGTTTGGAGACCTGTTTTTACAGGATACCACTTAAAGGAGTTCAAAGGGCTCGAAATCTAATCTTGTATTACAATTAAACAAGTATTTGCCATCTAGTAAAATAGTCTGTTATTTTCAGTTACTATGTTATAATTTCTTTTTTTTTTTTCTTTAGTGTTTGAGGTATAATCTCCTTGGATATTAAAAAACAAAACTTGTTCCATAACTCTTTTTTCCAACATCTTTTCTTACTCACCTATTTTCCATAAACCTTCATGTGCTAATTAAAATGCTGGCTACTGCTTGGCTTTGTGAAGGCCTTGCCCTAGCAAATGAAAAATTCAATTTAATTTTTGATATGAAGAAATGTTACCGTTTTTCCATTATAGTTCCTGTTTATAAAACATTGACTTCTGAGATGCATGTATAGTTCTTAATTGGTCATAGAGATTTTAGTGATTGCATAAGTGTGTATCAATTATTTACTTAAAAAATATATCTATATACCTATTAATTGTTCTTCTCGGAACATTAAATAATATGGAATTTTGATAAATGCTTTTATGATTAAGATGTTCAATATGTTATTTATAATAATAAAGTGCTGGACAATATTAATTTTAGAAATGTAAGTAAATTATGGTTTATGATACTTGTGAAGTATAGATAATACCATTGCATACATTTTAAAGCACAATAATATACAGTGAAGAACTGCATGCTTACCACATGTGAAAATACCACATATATGAAGAAAAATGTAAGGTGCAACCAAATATTAAGAGGTTTCATGTTTTTTATTATAACCATTGGTGTCTACTTACTTCAACTTAGAAATATTTTAGTTGATAATTTCCACCTTTATACCAGAAATCATTACTTTTTAAAATAACTTGTATCTATCAAAGGAATACACTTTAATGATCCAACAGATGTTATTTCATTTAAAAGTGGCTTTTAAATAATATTGCTTTTCACACATGTTGTGATCACAAAGGATACAGCAGTTTTTGTTGTTGATATTGTTGATGATTTTTCCATATAATGTAGTTTGATTTAACAAACATTCAAAATTGATCATAAAAACAATATCAGATGCAGATGAAACTATCCACTTCAGCACATTTCTGGAGATTTCTTTTTTGGTTTCCTTTGTTTATCTGTTTTTCTTTGTAAGCAAAAAAATCTCCAAAATGTTTGAACATAAAATGCAAAATGATTTCAATTTGAGTTTTAATTTGATAATATCTCTACCTTAATACTCACTGCATGGTAAGAGCTATAAAAACAAAAAGAAATATTAGGACATTGTATTTTAGCCTTAGGGATGTTTCATTGTTTTGGGAGAAACACTAACACATATTAAACATTGTAAATTAACCCCAATTCATTAAACTCATACTAGCTTTTCTTACTGAGTAAGAATCACCTGCTGTTTCTGTAAAGCATGGAAATCCCCAAACTCAGTTTCATCAAATGTTGGATGGGATGAAACAAACTGGTGTAACAAATACTCTTGCTGTAACTGAAGTCAGAAAAGCTTGAGGAATAAGATCTACCTTAATATGAATTCAATAACAAACTGTATATCAATTTTAAAAAAAATGGGGCACAGAAATGATGGAATAATGTAATATTTAGACTTGAAAGTGAGGAGATAGAATTGTTTTAAGAAGCCTAGCATGGCAAAAATTAAAGACGTGCAAAACCAACTGTAATAAAATTACTACCATAAAATAATTAAGACCTTCATAAGAAATTATTCTTAAAATTTCTATTTTATCTCTAAGACTGTGTATTATTTCAGGTATTATCTCAGGGACTAAACACATATATCCCTCAAAATTCATATTTGAAATCTAAATGCCAATGAAATGGTATTAGAAAGTGAGCCCCATATTTGATATCCTAAATCCCAACGAAAGGGTATTAGAAGGTGGGTAGAAGAAACTGGATTACATAGAAATGAAGTTATAAGGGAATGGGATTAGTACCCCTACACAGGGGAACCCAGATAGCTCTCTCAGCCTCTTTCTGCCCGTGAGGACACAGAAGTCAGCAGTCTGCCACTGAGAGAGGGCCCTTGTCAGGCGCCAATCATGCTGGCATCATAATCTCATGCTTTCAGCCTCCAGAAATGTAACAAATAAATATCAGCTGTTTATAAGATACCAGTCTATGGTAATTTTTAATAGTATTTTGGATGACTAAGACAATTGCCTTATTTTTCTGGACTTCAGATATAGGGATTACTCTTTTGCTATCAATGGGTATGATTTACTTTTTGGACATTATTGAAGTTTCCTTTTAAATTAAGCCTAAAGTCAAATTTTGAAATAATTTGTAAATATGAGAAAGATGGTGTATTTTTTTCCATTATAAAAAAAGAACAAACATAACCCAAAGCAAGCAGAAAAAAAAATAGAAATAAAAACAATTAGATCACAAGCATTGGAATTGAAAGCAATGGATAAATATAATGAAATCAATAGCAGATTCTTTCAAAATTTTGCTGAAGTTTATTAATCTCTATTGAGAAAGAGCAAGGGGCAAACAGGAGAGAGAGAAGACAAAAACTACTATTCGCAGAGGTGAAAGAGGGAGGATGCATAGTGATCCCACAGACACTGAAAAAGATTATAGGAACTACTTTGAACAATTCTGTGTCTACACATTCAGAAGAAGTTCTTGAGAGAATCCACCAAAATTTATATTGAAGGATAAATAACCTTAGCATGCACACACACACACATATATATGTGTGTATTTACAAACAACCATATATGTACAACCACATAAATATTTACACAAGCACATGCATACACACAAGCACACAGATATCACCAAAAAGTCCGTTGAAAACCTTTACAAAAACAAAGAGCAGTTCCAGTAAAAATTGATGCCACTAATAAACTCTCCGATATGTTACAAACCAAACTACAGGTCAATATTCCTCATAAACAAATACAAAAATTCTTTACAAATAATGGTGACTCCAGATATTTGTGAGAAGGACAGTGTATCCCTTTCAACTGGAGTGCACCCAGGAATGCAAGGATACCTCTATATATTAAAATATTTTCTATAAATGACCATATTGACAGATTTATTTAAAAAGCCATATATCTTCTCAATAGACAAAAAAATTGACAATATTCAAAATTAATTCATGATAAAAACTATCACCACAATATGAATAGAAGGGAAGATTCTTAAACAGATACAGAGTATCTGCAAAAAAAGTGCAGCTAATATATAATTAATTATGGAATATTATGTGCGTTTTCCCTAAGACCGGAAACAAGGTAGGAATGTATTCTTTCACCAGTCCAAATCTGTAATATTAGAAGTTCTGGCCATGCAATAAGCAAGAAAAAGAAATAAAAATATACAAGCTGGAGAGAAATAATGTAGTTTTCTTTATTTGCAGATGACTTGATTATCTACCAAGATAATTCCATGAAATTCACAAAAATGCCCAGTAATAAGTGAGTTTATCAAGGTAGAAAGATACAAGATTATTATAAATTAAACATAAACTAACCATAACACCCAGCAACCCTACTGCCAAGAATTTACCCAGGAAAGGGGAAAACTTTGTGTTTTGGGTTGAATTGTGTCTCAAAGAGACACGTTGAGTCCTAGCATCCGGTACCCCTGCATGTGGCCTTGTTAAGCAGAGTTCTTGTGGAGGTAAATAGTTAAGACAGGGTCATACCTGAGCAGGTATGTCCTTAATCCAAAAGGACTGATGTTCTAATAAGAAGGCAGACTCTGGGAGACCACCAGGTGACAACCAAAGCGGAGATCGGAGCAATGCGTCTCCAAGCAGAGGAGCAGCAAGGACTGCCAGACATCACTGGAAGTTGGAAGCAGGAAGGAAGGATTCACCCTACAGATTTCAAGGGAAGCATGGCCTTGTTGATACTTCCATTTTGAGAAATCTAAAAATATTAATGCGTTGTTTTCAGCCACCCAGCTTGTGGTGTTTTGTTGTAGCAGGCATAGAAAGAAGCATTACACATAGAAAGAAACAACCAGTATTAGCCTTTCTAAAAATATACCAAAAATAAACAGCATCAACATAAAAAGAATTTACATCAACGAATGGATAAAACAGCCAGTTAACATCAAATGGCAGTAATCCTAAATTTAAGTCGACTAAATCCCCCAATCAAAAGATACAGCCAAAACCCAACGGTATGCTACATCCAGACCCACTTCACATGCAAGGATACACAAAGACTCAAAACAAAGGGATGGAGAAAGATTTACCAACCAAATGGAGAGCAAAAATAAACAAATAAAAAGCAGGAGTTGCAATTCTTGTATCTGATAAAATAGATTTTAAAGAAACAAAATATAGTGGTAAAAGGATCAATGCAACAACAAGAGCTAACGATCCTAACACCCAGATACATACAGACTTAGACTCAATGAGACAGAAAATTAATAAAGATACCAAAGACTCAAACTGAGATCCAGAACAAGTAAACTTAATAAACATTTATAGAGCTCTCCACTTTAAATACACAAAATATACATTCTTGTCAATACCACATCACACCTATTCATAGGTTTAAATGAAATATTGATTGGCCATTATTAATATCCATTTTTTTTTAGAATAAAGCAACATTTCCATTCTCTGTCCCTCTTCTTCTTCCTCTCCTTCACCCATCTCTTTTCTTTCCTTCTCTCAAAAAAAGAAAAGAAGAAATCAACTTGTAGACCTCTAGATTCAGGTCGGCAATATCTCTCTCATTGTCTGATTTCCTTCCTTCCCTTCTCTCCCTGCCTCCCGCCCTCCCTTCCTTTCTCCCTCCCTCCCTTCCTTCTTTCCTCCCTTCCTGCCTTCCTCCCTTCAAAAAAAAAAAAAAAAGAAAGAAAATGTATTCACTTATTTTGACATGAAAACCTGTATGTAGGCATTTATGGCAGCTTTATACATGATCTCCAAATGTTGGAATTGACACAAATATCCTTCAGTAGGTGAATGGATTTAAAAAGCTAATAAACAAACAAAAATAAGTAAAGCCTGTGGTACCTAAACTAAAAAGAAATGAAAAAGAAAAGCAAGGTGCTAAAATTGTTCTGTGGCATTATGTGATGGTAAACACATGATTATTCATTGTTCCAAGTTCACAGGACAGGATTCTCCATGACATAGAGTAAAATATTAATTACTGTAAACTCTGGAAAATAATCAAACAAAACTTTGGAAATATTTATAAAATGGAAGGCAAACTATTGCAAATGTACTTTGGTTATATTATGAACAAATAACATATCAAAAGAAGGGGAATTAGGAAAATACAACTTAAGTCATTTTGGAAAAGAGTTTTTTAATTCTAATTTTTTCTAGAGACAATAAAATGGCTATTCAGGAGAAATATACTCTACATACTGAACGCATTTTTTACATGAATCCTGTTTAGTGATTGCAGTGCTACTCTACATGCATACTGGGATTGAACACATAAGTATATATACTGTAGATAATGAGAGTAAAATTGATCATTGTCAAAGGAAAGAGTGACAAATAAGAAAATAAGAAAAGTAACATGGAGGTGTGGCACTGGATTAAAATCTTATGCACTGATGCCTTCTTAATATATGTATCAACAGAAGGAATGATACGGAAATGAATATAGATGTGTTTGTATGCATGGGCATACATACGTATATTTCCTGTTGATGTCTGCTCAAAGGACCTAAAACACAATGAAACACGAGAAGAAGCAATGGGAACTGTTAGCACCTAGATCTTACTTTCTGATATTATTCTTGAATCAAAAATACTGCAATTCATCTGATAACTGGAATCCAGAGCTGTTGTAAGGAAAACACAAGATTATCCTAGAGTCTCTTGTGGTTCCAGAAATAAAGTATTCAAAGATGAATGGAAGGATGAAGGTGTGTTATAAGGGCCCAGGAAACATGCTGGAATTACTCCAAACGTCCAAAGTTGTAATAAATATGTAAGGAACTAATATGCAACAATATTTGGTTTATAGAATGAGTATGGGGTTTCTTACACATTAGAAAAAAACGTGAGTTAATACTGATATAAACAAATAAAGGGATATTTTTTCCTACATAACTATTGTGATTAAGTATAGAAGAATTAAATGAATAATAAATCATCTTTAGCCACCAAAGCCATAGTTATTGTTAACATTACTACCCCAACTTTAACCTAGAGAAATGGGGCCATCATCACATAATCAAGTGCTCAGGGTTAATATCACCATTGAGATATGATTAACATCATGAGCCCCTGATTTGATAGCCTAAGAAAGTATATCATGTCTGTGATATTCCTGCCAAAAGTATGTAACCTTCATCTAATCATGAGAAAGCATCAAACAAATCCAAATTGAGAGACATACTGTAAAATGATTGACCGGCATTCTTCAACAGCATCAAGGTCTTGAGAGACAAGAACATTGAGGAATGGTGCAGGAGACTAATAATACAGGAAAATGAAAGACAATATTGGATTCTAGATTGGATTTTAAAAGTAAAAGAATATGAATGAATAAAAGCAGTAAAATCCAACTATAGCTTGCAGTTTGGTTAATTACATTATAGCAATTAATTTATTAATAAGATTAAGATTTTTATATAAGATTTTAACATTAGGAAAAGCTGAGTGAAGAGCATGTAGAAATGCTGTGTGCTATTTTTGCAACATTTATGTAAGTCCCAAATTATTTCAAAGTGTGTTTTTAATTGGATTAGTGGGAAAATTCCAAAGTTTAAATTTTGCTGAAGTGATGATGGTGCGTAGCTAAGTAAGTCAGTGTTTACCTATTTATGAATTTTCTCATGTTGTCTCCCAAGTTTTAAAATTGGAGTGCAAGGACAAAATATATATGTATTTTACATATTTGTAAAATTTAAGTAAAACTTGCCTCAAAGCCAAAGAAATTTAGCCCAGTGAAGGTGGAGTAGGGAAAAAAATTTACGTAATGAGAATTTGTGGTTTTAAAAGGGTTAAGAAATATAATATATATTACATATCACTGCTTATATAGCTTTCTACTCTAGTCATTCTTTCTCGAGAACTACATATATGTTTATTTATGTTTTAATTCATTAATGGGACCTGAACCAATTTATTGTTACTGTGGTTCTTCTTACTAAATTCTAACAGATGCTTATTAAACTATTAAAGACTACAACTTCCTATCAAACTTTAAATGGGCTTTATGTACAATAACATTTTACAGAAATAGGATTACATGTTTAATTCAAAATAGCAACTGTTAAAACACTGTATAATTTTGCCAACAAGTATATTACGTGTGAAATGCAACCACTGTGGATATTTGGGGAAAATACTCAGAAATATTTTAGAGTACAGTTAAAACTGAACTCCTCTAAAGCTTAGTTCTTTGTAATTTCTATTGAATCCTTATCTGAATACCAAGTTACAAAGTAGTACATTATTTTTGGTAACTTTTGAATTCAAAATTAAAATATTCTCATCTTTGCCATATCATTATGGTAAACTTCATTGATATCTCATCAAAGTCTTCAGGAATATCCATTCAATGAGAAACCATTATTGAACCCTAGCTATTACTCCTCTTTAATTTTTATTATTAATTATTTCCACGTAGATGAGACAAGCAGAGTATTTCAAAGGCTTCTTTCATTGTGGAGTTGGAGATCATTTTTCAGTATGTTTTTTTAATGGAGGAACATTGTAACCTGGTTTTCTTTCATGCATAATCAATCTACAAGCACATTAGAACTGCTAGATTTTACTTTTGTTTTATATGTATATATATATATAACAAATATAAATTTTTATATGTAAAAATAAAGGTAATATGTAAAAAATACATATGATGTGATACATTACATACTTATATACATATATGTATAACATATAATAAAACATATGTATTATATATTAAATATAAGCATGTATAATATATAATATATAATAAAACATATATAGTGTTATAAAAGGTAAAATATGTTAGTCTATTATATACAGTTTACTCTTTATCAAATCGTTTTCTTTAAACCAAAACAGTTGTTCTGTAGTCAAGTAATTCCAGTAAAATGAACAGATTAGCAAGCAATACCTGTGGTGTAGGAAAGAGATCAGTACTAGTCTAGGCTGAAGATCTATTTTAGTTTCTTCAAAGAAGAAAAAGATTCACAATTATTAATTTTTACCCCTATTTATTTGTATTTCTCTTCATTTCACAAATGGCTTTTGCCATTTTTAAAGCAAGTCATTAATCGATTAATATTCTTTTTTGACATGAGATTGAGTGATGTGTGTTTAGATGTATCACTCATCAATTTAAATCTAAAGTCATTTTACATTTTTTTCCTATCCCTACTGAGTTGAATCTTAAATACAGGAATATACTATTTTAAAAATTGTCAGTATTATGTATTGACTGTGTGGAGCATATATGTCTTATTAAGACATTTAACTGCTTAAAGAGTATTATGTAACACTGTTATGTAGATATAATAAAAACATTAGGAATACTTTCCTTTTGGTTCAGGTATTCTGTTGCTAGAAGCAAAATGTTCAATATTGATGACAATGGCACAATCACCACAACTAGCCCACTGGATCGGGAAATCAGCGCCTGGTACAACCTAAGTATTACAGCCACAGAAAAATGTAAGTACTCACTTGGATCCAGTACAGTTGTTTGCCATATTTCTTAAACAATTACACAATTTCTTTTTTAATCATTATTATACTTTAAGTTCTGGGGTACATGTGCAGATCATGCAGGTTTGTTACATACAGGAGCCATGGTGGTTTGGCTATATTCATCCCCCCCATCATCTGCATTAGGTGTTTCTCCTAATGTTATCCCTCCCCAATCTTCCCACCATCTGCTATCCCTCTTCTAGTTCCCCACCTGCTGACAGGCCCCAGTGTGTGATATTCCCTTCCCTGTGTCCATCTGTTCTCATTGTTCAACATCCACTTATGAGTGAGAACATGTGGTGGTTTGCGAAAAATGTGGTACATATACACCATGGAATACTATGCAGCCATATAAAAGGATGAGTTCATGTCCTTTGCAGGACATGGTTGAAGCTGGAAACCATCATTCATAGCAAACTGACACAATCACACAATTTCTACACATGGGGACAAGGCTACCTTAAGATGTTGTTCAAATTATTTAAATGACATTCAATGTAAATGTGTGTATTTGTGTGTTTTAATACACACATTAACAATAGTATCCTTAATAAACTAGTCTTATTAATGTCTGCTTATTACTACTATTCCAGCTTATCTATATACTTACCACTATATATCTTCTAAGCTGTTTTCTAATTATAACAGTAAATAATTTTAATACAAAAATACATTGAGAAAACCACAAAGTATAAATGAAAATCACCTGAAATTCTGTTTGTTTATTTAGGCAGATGATTTCCTTTTCAGGCTGTAAAAACAGATAAGAATTATTCTGAATTAACTCTTGGATATTGTCCTTGAAATTATGAATCAGTTATTTATTCAGTTATATTGATTAAAGCTGAAAGAAATAGATATAATAGAAAATATCTAAATCATTTCCATTGGTCAATAGATTTAGAATTGTAAATTATTAAAATTGTGAATATAAAATATTCTCAAATGTGTCTTTGCTTATAGCTAATTTCACGTAGAATTTTATAATCATGTTCCCTTCCTTCACTCTTTGTTAAAATGGGAAGCATCTATTTCACTTTTCCTTCGTTTGTTAGACAGATGGCACCTGATATGGCGGAGTGAAAAGCATATCCGCATACTTTCTGAGGTACAATAAAAAGTTCTACAGAAACACTGTAGGACAACTTGAATCTGGGTTTTCAAAGTTTCAGTTAACTAAACAGTAAAAGAAAGCAAATGTTACAATGGAATAAATGTCTGTTGCCACAGAGGAAATGTCAAGGCTTCTCAGGTCAGAAAACACAGAGGGTTTTTTTTGTTTTGTTTTGTTTTGTTTTGTTTTTTGAGACGGAGTTTTGCTCTTGTTACCCAGGCTGGAGTGCAATGGCGCGATCTCGGCTCACTGCAACCTCCGCCTCCTGGGTTCAGGCAATTCTCCTGCCTCAGCCTCCCGAGGAGCTGGGATTACAGGCACGTGCCACCATGCCCAGCTAATTTTTTGTATTTTTTTTTTTTTAGTAGAGACGGGGTTTCACCATGTTGACCAGGATGGTCTCGATCTCTTGACCTCGTGATCCACCCGCCTCGGCCTCCCAAAGTGCTGGGATTGCAGGCGTGAGCCACCGCGCCTGGCCCAGAGTTTTTTTTTTTGTTGCTGTTGTTGTTGTTTTTTAATGCAGGTTTTATTCATTGCATATTTCTGAGAACAATTTTTTTTTTAATTTTAAGGAAAAACTGGTTGCAACGAGCTTTTGTAACACTGGATAACAAATTTTCATTTTCTCTAATATTTTAAAAAATTCTACATCATGAATCCCATTTTATATCTATATGGGAAAAATATGTGTAAGTGCCATTTTTTTACTGCCAATGAATCAATACTGAACCAAAAATAATTAGATTTGACCTTTTAAGCTTCCATAGCAATATAAACAAACTGACCAGTGGAAAACAGGGCATTACATAAAACGGTTTTAAAAAGCACCTAGCTCCATTTGTTAACTACCTTGAAAAGCTTTCATGACAATTATACCGATTATAGGAAAGAGATGTTCCATTTTAACATTTTTTTTTTCAGCAAATGAAGTTCATTGTGCATAGTCTCTTTTCTGGAAAGCTTCCTAAATTAAGCACAATACTATTTATCAGTATGCCAGCTAAATGAATAAACTACCAACTCTTTTAAAGTGCAGCTGTGAGGTTTTATATATAATACCAAAGATTTAATTTGAACTTAATTTCAAGAAAAGTTTAGTAACACAAAGATTAAAAACTTTAAATGAATTTCTCATTCATTTTCCTTCAGTTTATTTACAAGTGAATTACATTATACAACTTATTTAAGCAAAAATATTCTATGACGATGTATATGTAAAAACAATAACAATATAAACTTTAATTTCTGATTAATTTCTTCTTGAAATCATTAGAAATATATTTTATTTTCAAATGTTCCATTAATCTATTTTCAACCTAAATGTCCCACAATAGAGAAGAGTCTCAAAAGGATAAATACTAATGGTTTCCATATTTCCTAAAAGGCATGAATGTGTGTGTGTGTAATAAATCTTACAAATTCAATTTTTCATTAATTGAAAATTACAATTTCTATCTTAATTGGAACTATTCTTTTTGGGAAAATATAATTACAAGCAAAATCTCATCCCAGCCCAGAAAACCTCTCCACAAAGGTAGAACAGAGAGAAAAATTTTATTACTGGAAAACATTAAAACACAATATGGTGTGCATCATAGGAAACTGAAGAGATGGCCAAGATGGAAAGAAATCTCATCATTTTATGTAGTCAAGCAGTTCAATCCATTATATACATTTCTCAAGTAAATGTTATCTAGACGTTCAAGTATGAAGGCTAACACCATATATAGAATTCATTCTATATTCACTGGATAGTTCAAGTGACCACCTTCGTTTGCTAATTGGTTTTATCCAAAGGACAACTTAACTTTTCCTGTCTTGATGACAAGAGGTAGTTCTACATCTTAGAACAAGATGGTTGCTAAAATTAGTTTCCTCTCCTTCCACAAATCTAGGATATAGGGATACTGTATACATTGAAGATTACATTTCAAAGAGATGGCCACCATTACTTGAGAAATGCAATCCTGGATGCCAAAGCTTGCAACAAACTTACTGAACTTTTAAAAGATTTCCATACACTTCAAAGAGACAAAGAACTTACAACTACAATGCTTTCGCTTTCTCTCTCTCTCTCTCTCTCTCTCTCTCTCTCTCTCTCTCTCTCTCTCTCTCTCTCTCTCTCTCTCTGTGTGTGTGTGTGTGTGTGTGTGTTTATGAAGGCTCTGAGAAAAGGAAGAAAGGGAAAAATATTTCCCTTGTTTTCAACAAAAAGAATCAGGTCTCTAATCTTTAATTTGTATTGTTCTTTCAATTACCATTACAAATAGCACATATATTTTAAATAAAAACACATAGACAAAGTAAAGAATCAATAACCCATACCCCTTTGGGAGGCCAGGGTGGGTGGATCACCGGAGGTTAAGGAGTTGACCACTACCGTGGCCACAGCCCCCTGCTCAAGAAATTCTCCCACCTCAGCCTCTCAAGTAACTGCGACTACAATGTACACTACAAACACAGCTAATTTTTTGGAATTTTAGTAAAGATGAGGTCCTACAATGTTGCTCAGGCTGCTCTTGAACTCCTCAGCTCAAGTGATCCTCCTACCTTGGCCTTCCAACGTGCTGGAATTTAGAGGTGCGAGTCACTATGCCTGGCTAGATTCACACGTTTGTTTTTTTTTTTTTTCTTTCGCAAAAAAAAGTTTTATTAGAACACAGCCACAATCATTCATTTACATATTGTCTATGACTGCTTTCTCACTACAACATTAGAGCTGAAGAGCTGCAACAAAGACCATATAACCTACATAACATTAAGAAAAAAATTTTTTTGAGATGGAGTCACACTCTATTAGCCCAGGCTGGAGTGCAGTGGCACTGTCTCAGCTCACTGCAACCTCCGCCCTCCAAGGATTCACACGTTTTTAATAAATCCACATAATGTCATAGTTTGGTTGTAATTTATTTTCCCCAATTCTTTTCTGTTGTACATTTGAGTTGTTTATAATAATTTGGATGCCATGCAAATAACTCTGGAATGTATTTAACTGGATCATTTTCTAGTATACTTATTCCTTAGACTTTATCTTCATTTTAACAGATTAGGTCACAGATGTGAGCAGTTTATATTTTATTATCCATTACTACAGTTGGTTTACACTGTTATTTTTCAGCATTCTGCCATCACTGGGTACTGTTTTATCACATATGACACAAATGGCATGGACTAAACCACCATTCTTCTTACCTGTGGTGAGAGGCTGTGTGAACATCATGATGGCACAATGTGTCAGCTGCAGGCCACTTGGCCCAACACTTCTGCCCCTAACGTTGACCAGGGCACATTGACAATGTCTAAACACAGTTTGGTTTGACACACTGGCGTGGGAGGGATGCTGCAGACAATTGGGGAATGGAGGTCAGGGACACCACTAAGCATCCTACAATCCACAGAATCCTCCACAACTGAGAATCATCCAGTCTAGAGTATTAATAGCAATGGCAGTGAGAAAGTCTGCTATAAGATAAATTGAATTTTCTCTCCTGTGAATTTCTAGTTTACATATTTTTTTCTGAAATGTCTTTTTTATATCAATTTGAAAGATTTAAATGTTTTAACCACAATATTTTTTCATTATGTTTTTTGGATTCCATGGCTCACTTAGAAAATCTTCACAACTCAATGTTTATATAGAAACTTTACATATATTTTATTACAACTATGTTACTTTAAAATATAGATTTTTTAATTCTTTGTTTTTAAAAGCTACACTCTATAAATTTCAGTGGTTCACAGAATTGATTGCTATTTTTGTTACAGCACTGCAGCTATAATCTTACAGAAGTAATTTAACTGTAGTTTTTTAAACTAAATGGTTTATCAATGTTTTCATCAGTAAAATTGGAAAGGATAATCCATGTGTTGATCAAGATGCAATAAATTAATACAAAACTTTAGTTCCTGGACTCTTGCAAGCTATCTGTACACATATGTTTTTACTACTTTTTTCTCATCACCTATTACAGCCCATGGCAGGTAAAATGGACCCAGTAAATATTGCTTGGTTTGGATATACTGAGCACAGAATTTTTTTTTCTAGGCTGTATTGTTGATAAATATGTGAATCATGTAGATATCCTGTCCTCAGATAACTGTTTTCAAGTAAAATAAAAATATACCACAGAGCCTCTAATATAATTTTAATGACTTATCTTCTAAAAATAGTATTAAAATATTTTAAATTTTAAAATTGTATATGTTTAAATATATATAATATATAAAAATATGTTATTACAAAAATATAATATAATAAATTGTTAAACTGTATATATTCAAATTGCAGACAATATAGAACAGATCTCTTCAATCCCTGTGTATGTGCAAGTTCTCAATATCAATGATCATGCTCCTGAGTTCTCTCAATACTATGAGACTTATGTTTGTGAAAATGCAGGCTCTGGTCAGGTAAGGACTCATTATAAATTACAAAATTCAAACAATTTATCATTTTTTCATAACATGTAATTCATATATTTTACAATATTTTATATATTATATATTATTAACATTTAATATTTATACTTTATATACTTATTGTAATTCTGTATTATATTATATTCAATAAGTATGAATTATATCTATTAAACTTCATAATATATAATAATTTTGGTCATGCATTCATCTTATTTTGAAACATCAAGAAAAGTAACTTTAGTCTATTTATATTCATTACATGCTTTTATGTTGTGAGCTCCATATGATAATATTTTGTTTTAATTTTTAAAAACATGCAAATTTCACGTTTTGTACTTTACAATTCTTCAAATGTTTTAAAAAATCTGCTAACAATAGTGATTCAGTAGTTTGCCTTTATAGTATATTTATTATTCAGTAGTTCATTTATATTTTGCTAATATAATAAAGAAAAAACTTTCGATTGTGTAGTTTAAATAATCCCATTTTTTTTCTTACTCCTAGTTCATGTACAGGTAAAATGAGATATAAACATAAATATATGGAGGAAAAATATTTTACAATTTTTTTTGTAGTCTTTAATCATACATCAGATATAGCAACACATAAAACTCAGTTTTATATGAATTACTAGATATGTACACACAAGAACATACTCATTTTGAAATACATTATTACTTCACAATTTATTTCACACACTTTCTTATCTGCTGCTCACTTTTTTATTTGTAAAATTTGATATTGAAATTAGGATGTTATTTATGTACTTCTCAGCTCCAGTACATAATTAACTAACATAATTATCAGGTTTCTTAGAGTACATAAAAGATTATTAAATACCATTGGTTTTCTTTAGAAAAATGGCCACTAATGTCAAAAATTTTACAGTCTAGTGTTCATAGTACTAAATAAGTTTACAGACACTATCAACTCAGTTATTCTAAGTAGCCTTGAATTTATCAACAAAGCTACTCAGGGAACATTTGGATTTTACAAAAGTGGAAATTACATTTTTCTATAAATAAATGGTAGTAGCCAAAGTTATGTTTGATCTTCAATTTCCTGCTATGCTAGCAAATAGGCATATCTTAAGAAACAGGTGTATCTTAACTGTTACTGATTATTAAACTGTAACATAGTGAAAATTGTTAATAGTTCTTGAAATGATTGTAAATTTCATTAAGCTATGTGTATTTTTTAAAATGTTTTCACTGGAAATAATGATCAAATCTTGCCTATAAATATCCCCTAAAATGTTTTGAAAAACAGTAATAGAATTGTTATAAACATACAAATGACTTAAAAAAATTAAAGCATTTATTTCTAATGGGTTAGAACCCAAGGATTTGGGGAAAGTAAAGGTGGATATAAAAATTTCTCTACTGTGTTGCACTTTCCCTAGAACCAAAATTGAACTATTTTAGAATTGTATGGACACACAGCGTAGGGTAGAAGAGATCACAAAAGCAGAATGCACATAAACTGGGAACCATGGTTCCTGCAGAAATTAGGCTTAGATATTTTTCTTCAAACTTGATACCATAAGTTTATTATGTACTTAGAAATTGGACATATCTGATGTTCCCAAGCATTTCAGAAACATCTGGTTACTTAGACATATTGACAAATATAACAAGCGAATTTAAATGATAACGTGTAAATCTAACAAATGATACTTTAAATGTGGTACATCAGTTTTCTTAAAATACAAATAATTTTTGAAATGATGTATCTTATAATATTCTAATTAATATATATTAAATTTACATATTGGATCAAACATTTCTAGAATTAGAGGTAAAATTATGGTTTATATTTATTATTATTGTATTTTATATTTTGAGTATGATTAGCATCTTATATTTTATATTTTGAGTAAGACTAGTACAGTAAATTATTTCATTCATTTTATGTACATATGAAGTGTACATATAAATACAATATAAATGTAGTTAGATTATCCATTGATTAGATAATTTATTTTTAAACTTTTTTAAAAAATAGGCATAATTTATTTCATCTTCTATGCACCTATTTCTGTAAATGTCCCATGTGGTAACTATTTTATCCGAACAAAGTTCTATATAATATTTTTGCATTTTCCTCAATAAATTACTAGATTTATGACAGCAGGGATTCTTAGTGATTTGATTCCATAGTTACATATGTATGCACATATAGTGATTATAATATAAAAAGTACTCAATTCATATGCTTTCAGAAAAAATATATTTCACATGAAACCTGAAAAATAAATTTTACATTTTTTTGTAAATATAAAAAAGTAAAGAAATATGACAACACTAATTATATGGGTATATAGTTCAAAAGAGTAAATCGTATTTTTTATTTATACAAAAATAGATGAATAGTGAAGATGTGTTTCATTATTTTCATTCTTCACACAAGCTTTCATCACACAAACTTTTAAGTTACATGTCTTTTAAATATATATTTCAAAAAAATTTATGAGCAGTGATAAAATAATTCCTCAGATGATGAATTATCATGAAAATGTTTAAGACAAGTATCTTGACAATATTCCAGGCATTCAAAACCACCATGTCACTAAGTTACCATAATGTATTCTAGATTTATAGAAGTTTCTACAGACCCATATAGTCATTGAAGATAGAATTTTTTCAATATAAACTAACTTAATAATTGACTGCGCGCGGTGGCTCATGCTGGTAATCCAGCACTTTGGGAAGCCAAGGTGGGTGGATCACGAGGTCAGGAGATGGAGACCATCCTCGTCAACATGGTGAAACCTTATCTCTACTAAAAATACAAAAAAATTAGCCGGGCATGGTGGCGTATACCTGTAGTCCCAGCTACTCGAGAGGCTGAGGCAAGAGAATTTCTTGAACCCAGGAGGCGGACATTGTAGTGAGCTGAGATCACGCCACTGCATGCCAGCCTGGGTGATAGGACTCCGTCTCATAAATAAATAAATAATAAGCTAATGGCTATTTGTTCTTTGAAGGACCTCTAGAACAACCACAAAAGTGAAATATCAGTGTCTACAGATAAGTAGAACTGATCGAAAGGAAATTCAAATGCTAATGTTTACTGCAATGTGCTGTAAAAGTATTCTCAGTCTTAAACCCCACTGAGGAAGAGAAATGTCTATTGGATGTAATGGCATAGTGCTTTCTTGTGCCCTGCTTAAAGTATAAATGTAAAGCTTTATGAAAAAGGGTGTGAAATAAAATACATATATGTATACTATACTTCAAAAGTTTAGGTAACTTAGGTAACTTTCTCAGCATTATGTAGTGTATAAATATCTAAGCCAGAATTAAAATTTATGTTTGTCTCCAAGAATGATAGTGATTTTAACTACATATTCCATGCTAATCATAAAGACTGGCTCTCTTTAGATTATACACACAATTAAAAATACGAAAAAGAGAATTTTCTGTTTATTCAGAAAGAATTCTATTTCTGGGCAAAAATAAAAGGAAGGTCAATTTGACTGGTCCCAAACCCCTTCCTGGGACATGCACTGCTCATACTCATAATAAGGCACATTGGTGAGCCCTATTTTATAATTTCCCTTAAGGATGAATGTCACACATTGTGAAATAATTCTTTCGGAGACTTGCAGATGTCACTATCTGGAAGTCTGTATCAGTTCTATAAGCCTCGGAAAGAATGATACAGTTCCTCCACTGAAGTCCAAGGAGAAGCCAGCAATTTCCTCTCACCCTGCTACATACATTACAGTTTACAAATTGAAATCAGTGGACACATGGTTTGAGTGCTGTCAACGTATATAACATTATGGTAGATACTTTCTTATATATTGAGATGCCTTGTTTTAATAATTCAGGAATTATGGCTATCACAAGCACAAGACTGTCATATTTCCTCCAATGTTGATCACAGAGTTGAATTGACTTGGGTTCAGATTTCTGATTTGAAATTCACTGGGTAGGTTTTGGTTAATACAATTAAAACCAAACATGTAACATTAATATATGCCTCCCAAAGTGCCGCTAAAAAGTTTTTAAAGTGCTGTCAATCTCTTACTGATTCCTAAAGTGAAATATTAATATATGAACACGAAAACCAATGAAGCAATCTCTAAGAAAATGTTTGCTTTCAAAGGTAATAAAGCATAATGCATGTAATTGAAATGGTTTACTTGCGAACCATAATTATCTTAATTTGATATATCTATATAAGTAGTTTTTAGAAATTATTACAAAGGGTAGCAAAATTTATTTTATTAGGTTCACCATAATCTTAACAAGAATATTAAATGGTTGTGATAAGGAAACTCCTAAGAACATTCTATTTAGAAGTAAATAGAGGAAATGTTTAAACATAAGGAACAGTTAATCACCAAAATGAGAAAGTGTCTACACCATTAGAACACAAATTGTGAAATATATGTGTCCGATAAACTAAATAATGTAAATTCTGGATTAAGCCAAGATAAAATCAAGCAGGCAACTTGGTGGCACGAACAAACTACAAAACTACTTTGACACCTCTCCACCTTGGAATGAGGAAATGACAGTAAAGAGAAACGTGGCACCTTCTTTTGATACGACCTCAGCCTGAAATTTCTGAAAACGAATTGCTTAAAATAAAATTGGGGCAGAATAAAACATGAAGGCCATGAAATTAAGAGAGTGGTGGTAAGAAATAAAAAGCTTCTTAATACCAAAATCTGTAAGGAGAGTATGTGCTTAGGATGATAAGGATGATAGACTTGGCGTGGATTTGTTTCTATTAAGAAACCCAAAATGTAGTTCACTCTTTCCACTTCCCTAGGATATTCTTTATTTATTTTTTAACATTTTTAAATTAACAAATACAAACAGTACATATTTATGGTGCATGATGATGCTTATAAATATGCACAAACACACACACACTCATTGTGAAATGGCTAAATCAAGTTAATTAACATATCCATTACCCACATACTTGTTTTTTTGTGAAGAGAATACTTAAAATCCATTCTGAGCAATTTTGAA